GTATATCAAAAAACATAAATTTAACAAATAAAATAATAAAATAAAAATCCATAATCACAATTGAACTCGATAAGATTCGAGTGGAACGGATATGAGTCCGAATTAAATAGGATATCTAAAAGAAGAATAGAGGTAGTCCATCTGGTCCCGAGGCTTTATACGGTTGGAGGGACCATATGGCTTTCTGTATATCCATTTCAGAGATCGGGGACAAAAGCGTACTAACTTTTTCCTCATTTAGAGTTGCCCACCTGAAGTCCTTCAGTTCACAGTTTCTGTCTTTTTGCAATTTGAAAGTTTGAAATAGTTTGGTCTAGTACTCTATGATGACTTTCTTGACTTCTTCCTTAGCCACGGTCCAAACTCCACTAGCATCCTAATGTCCTTCAATTTTATTTCTACGTTTTCTCACAAGGCTGGTGAGGTGGAAAACCTAGTATTTCTTTCACCCTCAATCATCCAACTAACTCTTGATTTCATAGCCCATGGCAACTCTTCCTGTTCCAATACCTCTTGGTACTCATCCATCAATGCTTTTTGCAAGTTAAGAAGAAAATCATTTGGTCTCACCATCAGGGCTTTTCAATACCATTAAGTCTAGCCATGATCTTCTTTTTTCTCTTAAAAACATTTCCAAAAGTCTCTCTGTTCCATATTCTGAGATCCTTTGTAAAAGTGTCAATTACTTGTGCCATTGATACACTTAGTGTAGACCAATGGTTCTCCAGTACCCTAGTGAAATCTAGGTGGTCTACCTACATTTTTTGAAGCATGAAGGGTTTATTCTCAAAGGATGGGTGTCTTCCTTTTAAGCTAACGAGGATTGGGCAATGGTCTAACCTTATTCTTGTAAGGTGGGAAATTGACACTTCAGGATAGAGCAGCCTCATGCTCGATTTGCAAACACATAGTCGATTGGCTCTTGAATTAGTTGATGAGCATTTCGCAAATTCGACTAGGTAAATTTGGGTCCTTTGAAGCCAAGGTTTATCAGGTTGCAAACATTTAAGCAGTTATTAAACCTGCTTACCCTGTTGCTCGCAACGGGGAGTCCTCATTTCTTATCATTTGAAGAAAGCACCTCATTAAAGTCACCCGCTACTAGCCATGGTAACTCATGCTTTGACACAACCACTTTTAGATTTTTCCACACTACTTTCCTTTCTCTAAACCTAGGACTAGCATATAGAGCAGAAAAACGCTAAGAAGAGTTTGAAGATAGTACCTTCACCGTTGCGTGGATCTCTTGTTCAATCTGGCGGAGCTCCTGCATTGTGACCAAGTCTGACCTCCATAGCATCCAGATACCTCCTTGTTACCCTATTGTCTTAGTATCTTTCCATGCATCGAAAGGAAAACGATCTATAAGGTGTCGCACATCCCTGTCTCAAGCTCGGGTCTTAGTAATGACCATAATTTGTTGCCTGTGAAGATTAACCATGTCCCTAACCATTTGAATAAAGTCAGGGTGTCTCGTCCCTCTGCAGTTCCAAAGGTTGATGGACATGGTTTCAAATGGTTTTGGTGGTTTCGGGGCTTTCATGAACTTATCCATGCTCCAATCTATCCCAGTGTCTAGGTCTCTTCTCAGGATAATCCATAACTTGTAGAGACTCGATCCCTTGCACCACTAACGAACTACCATAAATCTTTAGTTGGTGTAACAAACTATCTACCACCAATCTATCCCAATGTCCAGGTCCTTTCTCGAGATAATCTCTAACTTGTAAAGTAGAGACTCGATCCCTTGCACCACTAACGAACTACCATAAATCATTAGTTGGTGGATCGAGCTGTCTACCACCAACTTCAAGGTGGATACCTGATTGTTCTTCATGTAAACCTCCAGATTCCTCTCTAACAGCAGAGCTACAGAGATATCCATCAGCCATTGCGGTATCATCTAAGCGTACAACATGTCCTCCCTATTGTGGTGTTATGGCTGCTCGGAGCAAAGCAAGTTTTGCTAAAGAAATGGCAAAACAGGCGGTGAAAAAAATCAATAGTGGTGGGATAATCCATAGTATGTGAGGGGCTTGTCCTATTGGTGACCTCCTGTCCTCCCTTATGTCCAGTAGAGTTCCTCTCCCTGGGGAAAATTCACCGACGAAGTCGTCCCTCCTCCCGATCTCCTTCAAAGCTTGTTGTAGTGGATCTTGGTTCACTCCCAGATAGACCAAAGAAGAAGTTCAGGAAGTTTGTGGAAATATTTAATGCATTATCTAGACCTCCTTTCTCATTTCAAACGTTTGTTCATGCAAATCTGCATTCGTTGACTAGCGTTGAGACCCTTGAACTTTGGTGTACATGGTGGTTCAATGCTACTTCTTTTTTTTTTTTTTTGTTGGGGTTTCTGTGATAAGGGGAACTGCGCTTTTTCAATATATTCGAAAAATTTTTGGTTACCATCCCCATTGAAAGTTTTTTCGACAGGCATTTTGTTTTGCATAGATTTCGGGATTTGCTGAGTTTTAGGTATATCTTTTTTAGGTTCTATTCCCAAGGTTCTGTCCATTTCCACAGATTTCTTATCTTTTTTAACCATGCCGAGTTTCTCACTTTTGCCCTGATTTCCTGCTACATTAAACTCATCTTTTTTAAGTTACGGTTATCCCTTTTGTATGGTAAATTGTTTCCCAACAAGGTCTTGACCTTGTTTTACCTGGGCCATTGGTAGCTTTCCCCTTTGATTTTCACTCAAGCTATCAGTGTTTGATGTTGACCTTTCTTTAGCAACTCGTTACCCTTCTTGTGTAACCGCTACACAGGTAACGCCCTTTTGGTTTGAGAGGTTACCTCTAGCTTTACCTTGGCTGATATCTTCTGGCATGCAAGTGGGATTTGCATGACAAGTGGGATCTGCCTCATGCAGGTCCACTTTCTTGAAGGTTGTTGACTTTGCTCTTATTTCTTCTTTCTTGTACCAGCTAAGGTTCATATCTGTTGCTTTCTCATCCTCCTATTGTTTTTCGAATTGCTTGGTTTGAGTGGTTTTTTAGGTCATCGCTTGAGACAACACCGACGGCGGATGTGGTAATTCCGGACAGAGGTCCTTTTTGTGCCCTATCTGCCCACGGTGGAAACACATCATCTTGATTTCCTCAAAAACAATGGTTTGTTTTTTACCTTCAACATGAACAAAATTCACCTGGACACATAGTCAAGCGAACTTCCCTCCTGCCTCTGAAACGGTATGACTATCGATCCTGAGCAGGCCCACTGTACACTTGCGAATCTTGGTCAGTATTTTAGTGTCATAATATTCCATAGGCAGCTCTGGAAGCCTTGCCCATGTCGCAATAGATGAAAAGAAGGCTTCTGAAGGCCTAAAGTTGGGAAACAATTTTCTGATTTTAAGGAAGTGACCCCCCATGAACTAAGGTCTTTCCGTTATAACGTAGTCATAAACCTCATGATTCTGGAATTTTAAGAGAAAAAAAATCACGACCTAGCTCAATGGCGTAGAACTTACTTTGAGTTTTCCAAATCTAGTTGAGCTTAAAAATAAGGTATTGGTATTCTTACAAAAAACTTTTAACAATTAGAGTCGTAATCCACTTGGACCTAATTCTTGTCTTTCTTCCTTTGATATGGATAAAGTTGTTCTCTTTTGACTCTCCATTTTCAACTTGTTCCTGGATGTCTTTTTCAGTATCTGTTTCCATGTTCTCATTTTCTTCTTCAAAGAACATTTGTTCGTAGGCTCCATAGGATGCGCCTAGGATTGAATCTTTGTATGAGATAGCTTCCTATCAGAACCAGTAAATGGCCATTCCCCTTTACTGGTTTTCTCTTACTGGCTGCCTTTCTCAGCGTGGCAATCCTTAACCCTCTTTGTGCTACATTAAAATTCCTCCTTTTCCTCTCAAGAGAGTTTTGCTTCATTCATACTTTCCTTTTTCCAAGATCTTGCCCAATACCTAGTTTCAATACCTTTGAAGCATGAACACACTGGAACCTCCTTCATAACAATGTCAATCTTACATTGATGTCGTCAACACACCGGAGTACTGGACATAGCAAAAAAAATCAAGTTGGACAAGGTCCTAACTCGGTTGGACCCGAATTAGGCAACGAAAAACGGTAAGAAAAGAATGAAGGCACTGGATACTTTCGTAGATCTAGGCTTTTATAGTTGTTTTTTTGGATGGATAGTAAGACAAAGAAGGTTAAAAGGGGTTTTCTAATTTTTTTTTTTTTGAGGAATTCCGACATTAATAAACGGCGGTCAACAACAAGGGACAACAATAGAAGCGACGGCTGTAGACAAGAACCTGAGTAAGAAGTAGGAAAAGAAAAAGAGAAGGTAAAAAGAAGAAAAAAGATGAAGAAAGAGGAGAAAGAAGAAAGAAGAAAGATAAGGCCCCCTTTGGAAGCAACTGAAGCACCATTGAGATGTAGTTGCCATAAGAAGATGTGCACGGTAAACAAAGATTTTATGAAACCACTTCACTTGTTTCACCTTCCCAACTATCACCTAGCAGTACGGTTTTGGATGTTTCCTTTGCGTCACAGTTAGGGGTGTAATCGAATCGAATCAAATAGTGAGAAGCTCGAACTCGACTCACAATTCGGGGTTCGATATTCGGCTCGAACTCGATCGAATTTTATTTTTCAAGCTCGAACTCGATTCGTGATCGAATTCGAGCTACTCGAGCTCGCTCGATTAATATGTAAAAATAAGCTCGATTCGTACACTCGAAAAGAGTTCGATTATTCATGCTCGAATTCGAATTCGAACTCGGACTCGAAATATTTTATTAATTAAAATAATAAAAATATATTTAAATATAAAAGCTCGATTAGGCTCGCGAGCTACTCGAGTCTGATATAAGAATACTCGAATTCGGCTCGATTGATAAGTCAAGCTATTCGAGCTCGAGCTCGACTCGATACTAATCGAACCGAATTCGAGTTTTCTTCGAATCGAACCCGAGTAGTTTGCGAGTACTAATGTATCATTTACACCCCTAGTCACAGTGTATACTCAACCTTATGCAAGGTCAATTTTCTGAAGTTACTGGAATCATCATAAACCAAAAAAAAAAGATTATTTGAAAGATGAGAACCTGATAGCAATTTGCTGAATAAGGTCTTACATTCAAGAATGTCACACCAGCACATTTTGTTTTGCTTATTTGTCAATGAGACAAAATCATTAATGGCTAAAACAAACAAAAGCAAACGCCAAAACATACACTTTTTCCTTTTGGCACAGAAGCAAAAACATGCACAGCCTCATTCACTTCCACCAGAGGCCTTCGCCTGGTTCCGAGCTTCTTCTCGCATTACTGCCTTGACATAAATTTCATAGCAACAACCTGAAAAAAACAAACATAATACCATCATACAAGAAGTCTAGTCACAGATGCTGGACTGTTTGTCTTTCTTAAGCAGCAATGAATCAGCTTATTTTTTTTCTTCTCCAAATGAGGTTTAGTAAGGATAATGGCTTAATGTCTCCTGCTTCTCACCATTTATTCTGAATATTAAAGAAAAGCAATTCATGTAAGAACTTTCTAACTCAATTGCAGACATAACATGGACAAAGCTGCACGTTCAGAATATAATTTTCTTCCTTTTCTTTTTCAAAGTGAAGGGGGGGGGGGGGGGAGGATTAATTAAAAAAAACAGAAGATATACATAAAAGGTGCCAGAAGAGCTTGACTATTATGTTCAATGATCAAATGCTAAGATCATGAAGTTGATTTTTCATCACTATTTTGAAAGCAATCATTCATTAAGTTGTATCAAGCCCCCAAATCTCCGTGATTTAGCAAACCATTATATTTCCTTCTGATCTCATGCAGCGTCAAATACAGCAAACTCTAGAAATTGCAAAGCTAACTATCTAATCAATCAAATTTATTAAGATTGATTGAATATGCTTTCTTTGTTGGTCCATATTTTGACAATCGCCATTAAAGAAGCCAGGGGGAGGGGGGGATGAGGGGACAGCGGCAATTAACCCAATGACTTCTTAAAATCTAACCATTGACAAGGTGAGGACGCATCAACACATAGGTTGTACGCAATCAAAATTAAGATTTTGAATGATTTTGTACAAATTTGGTATCATTTTATTCCTTTTTTCCTTCCATGAAAGAAGGGGAAAGTGAATTAAAAAGGCAAAAGAAGGAAGATTTCCAGTTAATACAACAATAAAGAGTAATGTCCAAATTTACCCAAGATATTTTTTGGAGCATATCTTAATACCATCTCAAACAGGATCATAGAGAATCAAACCCAACTTCTCATGGAGTTATCCACACATAACAAAACTCATGAATCAATTCATTCAACACTTAGAGCAAACACTAGTCTTACCTGCTACAACGACAATTGTCAGAACATCCCCGATTCTCTTCAGTCGCCTCACGCTCTTCTTATAAGAGTTAAATCGTCTTAGAGAAGGGTCTTCTGCCAAGAGCTGCAGGTTGTATTCCACATCAACATTTTATTAAGTTCAAGTATGGCACAAGAAAAAGAAAAAAAAACACTAATCACTTCTAACCTCCCCACTCCATGCCAGAAAAACAGGAACTGTTTAAAGTATTTGATTATAAGTAATTATCAAGAATTTCAACCAACTTCCCTCGCCAATGTAATGTCTCAGTTGCTTAACATAAAACTTTATAAAAAACAAATTGAAACCTATGATCAAGTACAGTTAAAACAAACTAACTTTTTGAATCATTTGAAATAAGAACCTTTACACTCTTCACTTCATCTATTAGTATGGGCTCAATTCAAAAAAGATAAACCCAACCTAAAAAGTCCAAAAAACTAGCTTAACAGAACTTTGAGCTGATCCAGATGCTAGAAATGCAACATTTTTTTCCAATCAATAAAAATCAAAAGAGTAAAACCTAAAAGAAACAGAAGGGCATATTTTTATCAAGAAATTTGAACTGGGAAAGATAGAGAAAAAAGGCGAAACTCACAGCTTTCTCACGATCCCCAAGTTCCACGTGAAATGCTCGACTTGGCACGGCCAAGGAACCCTCTGTCTTCTGCTTTATTCAGCAAAAAAATTCGAGAGAGTTAGATAGAGCTATTAACAATCAAGTAAAGACCCAATAAAGATCAAGTGAAGTTATTATACATAAATAAATTGTATAATTTTTTTCATACCTGATAAGATGATCGTAAATAATTGGCAAGGCTACTTTTTTGAAGGAAAAAGGCCATTTTGATATTTCAGAGATCAGATTAAAGAAGAAGAAATTGGCTGCTGAGTTATGTCGAGCGAAGGAGAAAGCCAGATGGGCTTAACCCTGTTGCGAAAATAATTTAATTCCAACTTTTTGCATTCATATGCCTAATGTTTTTCATATTTTTGTTTCTACCCATGAATTTTCCTTTTTTCTCAGATTTGCTCACCTCGTGGCCGTGTTCTTGCCATGTGTTTTACTATTGGTGAATATGAGGTTGCCACGTGTAAAAATAAGCCGTTGCTCGCTTTAAACGTTGACGAAGGAACGAACTGATGATCAGAAAACCCACTACCAAATGCAATATGGTGTTGAGAGGAGATGCTGTTGGTTGCTGGTGCCTGCATTGGAAGGCAAAGAACCACCCCCTTCTCTCCTTTCATTTTCCCAAAATTTCAGACTATGATTCCATCATTCCCCTTCACATCCTCTTCAAAGATTGACATCTCATAGTAACTACAAAACTGATAAGGGTGAGCTTCACTTTTTCCCATCCTCGAATTCATAATTTTTTCATCTATTCTAGTCTGGAGTTGCATGTTATATTTGCAGGGTCACTTTTTGATGATTTTTTTTGGCCCGTAACTGATTTTTTTAGTTTTTTTTTTTTTTTTTTCTATATGTGCATTTTAGTTTTCCATAAATAATGAGGGAATTTAATTTGTTATCAAGTGTTGTACATTTTCTTTCTAGGATTTAAGTATTAGATTCGGCCGATACAGGAGGCAACTGCAGTTACCATAACATCCCAGAAAGTTAAAAGAGGATGATGAACAACAATCACCCCAAAATTGGAAGATTATAATGCTTTATGATGGAGATTGTCCGCTTTGCATTGGTGAGGTATACTTTGAAATAATTACTGTAGGAATTTGATTAATAACATACTGCTCCGTATATATCTTGCTTGTGATATATTTGCTGTTCATTAGGAATTTTTTTTTTCACTCTGTTTACTATCTTATCTTGTTGTGAGGTCGATATGCTAGGGAGAGGAATAAGCAATACCGCACTATTTAGTTTGTTGACAAAAGTGCTGAATTTCTGATGATGATTCTCCTAAAGAGAATCAAGGATTGGACTACAAAACTGTATGTTCAGGGATTATTAAACCCCTTTTTGATCAATTTCAAATATGCTTTCCATCTGTGGTGTGATCAGTTAGTAGGAATATGATCGGTATACTAGTACTGAATTTGAATGAGTTCCGTTTGTTGTTTAGGTTACGGGAAGAATTCATGCCATTCTCTCTGATGGAACTGTTGTCATAGATGTGGAGGTATGACTTTCTCGATTTTTACAATGCTCTAACCCTGGATTATGAACTTTTTCCTTCTTGTTATTCTAACACTATTCTGCAAATTTGCTGAATGTTGTAATGCGAAAAACATTCGCTATAGTTGTGACTTTGTTGGACCGTAATCTAAATGAAAGTAAATGATAAAAAATATAGTAATGAAGAACACAAAATGAAAAAAAAAATCCAGGTATATGAACTTCGAAATCTGCATTTCCTTCGACATTTGGAGTCCTGAATGCTGTTTAGGATGTTAAAACAGGTTATAATACGTGACCACTACAGGTTATTTCAAGTAGTGCACAAGTTACTGTAGGCATACAAGGGATGCTTATTGTATTTAAGAACAAGCTGACCAGAGTATAGTGTTAAGATATCTTTAATTGAAGCTGGTGGCACCTTTCCCTCTTGTTTCCTCTTTTTGAGTTTTGATTTTTCTCTTTAATATTACTCCCGCTTTTTGCCTTTGGATTGGGAAGCATGGGGACAGGAGGATACAATTTAAAGCATTATTTACTTTATTGATGACTTGCAGGCATTTAGAAAATTGTATAGGCAAGCTGGCCTTGGATGGGTTTATGCCATTACCAAATATGAACTTGTAAGTTTATGCTTACTTTATATTACTTGTAGTTCTGTTGATTTGCTATTGTCCTTCAGTAGTCATAGCAATTTGTGTGTCTGTGTCGCATTTTTTTTGTTTCAAACATGTGTAGAACAAAAAAACTGTTATATTATAATTCATGTCAAGACATCAAATATAAAATATATTTTTTTTCATCAATCTTATATATAGTCTGTTACTAAAATTTTAGATCATGTTACTTTTATATCTTTTTTTCGTATTATTTTCATATCGTGTTATCATATCTACTTTTTTCAGGACCTTGTTGTTTCGGGAAAAATAAAGATTTCCCTTTTCTGTGTGTTCATCAGTGGATAATGGTATAGCATGCCATCTTGTGCGGATTGCAACAATAGTTGATTCCATCTATGGTGCATGGGCTAAATATCGTCTTCAAAATACCGGTAAACATATGCTGCACTTGGAATTCTGTATTCTAGTTTATGAGTTTCATTCGGGCCAAAAAAATGGAAACAGAAATTCTGAGTCTCTGTTTACCTTCCATAGCCAAGTCTAGTTGATTTGTACAGCTAATATTTTAGTTTAATTAAACAAAGATTGTAGTACTTGGTTACAAAATTGCAATAGCAGCCTAACCAGCATGTGGAAATCAATTGCCTTTTGAACTGAATGCATTGAGAGTGGAAGTTGATGCAATTTTATCTCTAGAATTCTTTGTGTTAAAAGTTTCAAATCCTGGCTTGTGAGATTTTACGGGGATCGATTTCATGTTTTAAGGATTCTTGTTCTTGTTTCAGGCCGGCCACCTTTAAAAGAGATCTTGGAGGCTATAAGAAGTAAGGTAAGTATACAGTAACTGCATGTGGCTCCAGCGGGAGTATTTTATTTACAATTTATTTTATTATACTATTATAATAGTTCAATCACAATAAAAAATTAAGCGTCCACTAACGTGGATTTCATATAAAATTTTAATAGTTTTCACATAATTTTAAATAATGATTGATTAATTATACTATAATCACAATAGGAGATATACTTCCGATTCCAAGGAAATATAATGTTCAAGTGAAAATTCAAGAAGAAAATTTTGAAGATTAAAGTAGGAGGATCCAAGAATTCTTAAATTAGCATCTGATCCATCCTACAAGTTTAAAAAGGAAAATTTGAAGAACAAACTTTTCAGAATTCCCACAAATCAAATACTTGAAGATTAAAGTAAGAAGATTCAAGAATTCTTAAATTAGGATAAGATTCCAAGAATATTTAAATTGAAATAAAATTCTAAGACTTTTGAGAATCTTAAATTTGGAGACCAAATTTCAATAATTAAAAAAATTTTAAATTTGAGTCCAAATTTATTAAATTCAAAAACAAATCAGCATGACCTTTGATGCAAATTTTTGTCGAAAAATTAGGATTTTATTTAAAAATTTTCAGAAATTATACTTTAGATTCTTGATCGATTGAAATTTATTATTTAATTCCAAATTTTCTAATGTTATTTTAAACACAAAATTTATATGTACACATGCATAAGATGTTTTTTTCTCTATCTCATCACAAACAAATGTTATAATTACCAAGTTTTTTTTTTTTTTATTACATCATATTAACAAACATATATCATTGAAATATATAAATAGATTAATGTCATAAATGATTTTTAAATTATAATAAATTGTTCAATGTGATATTTAAATTTTAAAAATTTTTAATTTGGTTTTTAGATTATTAATCTATTATTAATATGATATTTGAATGATTATTTGTTCATTTCATATCATCATTTAAAATTAACCACATTAAAATAAATACTCAATTAATTAATAAATTTATAATTTAAATAACACATTATAAATTTTTAGAGTTTATGTATCATATTAAATATTTTATTATAATTTAAGCCAAGAATAACCTTCCTTTTACTCTCCCTTTCGAAAGTTGAAATACATGGCCCAGTCCTCTATTCTTTGGGCCGGAAGCTCATGTTATGCTGTGATTAACCTTTATTTTTAGGCATCAGTTCATCAGGTCCATGATCTTCTTATGCTGCCGTATATTTTCAAAAATACCAATCAAATGAAGCATCAAAATCCGTCTCCCAATCCATTCTTTTGGGTACAAATTTATTTAAATTTTAACTATTCTATAAGAAGAAGAAATAGATGTGATAAGTCTACATCTTTTTGGTTTAATTATTAAAAAAGCTTAAAAAGATATGCAAGGTCTCTACCATCATCATTCCTTATTTTTATAAAAAAAAATGTAATAATTGCTTAAAAAAATAAATATGATAATTTTAAATATGACATGATAATATAATATAAAAATATTTAAAAATATGAAAAAGATATATTTTAAAATTTTTAAAAAAATTATAGATGAATTTGATAAAAATAAAAAATATATTTAATATTTGATATATTGACACGAATTACTATACAATAATTTTTATATTTTATACATGGTTAATATAAAATAAATACGACAAAAATATAGGAATAGTCATATCTAAAAATAGGACAAAACTTAAAAGATAAGTAAAGAAGATATAAGATATTATTGTTTAAATCTTACATTTTGATTTTATCATGTCATGTCACATTTCATTTATAATATTGTTGGGTATCACTTTCAAAGTCATTGTGATGATATAATTATTATAGCGGTGAGATCATTAAAATGATTTAGTCTTCAGTGATATTAAATTATTATATTTGATATAATATTATAAATTACAAATGATTTAAATCATTGTATTTAACATTACATAAAAAATCTAAATATAAAATATTCAAAATAACCTTAAAAAATTTATTGAATAAACAATTCATAAAATAGTATTATGTCATTTTTATAAAAAAAAAACTAAAAGTATAAACTAATTTTTACGAAAATAATTTCCAAAAATTATTAAATAAATTCATTGTTTTTTAATAATAGTTCCAAAATGAATGCATATAAATCATAAAATGAATTAAACCAGTGAACTAAAATTTGATTACTCAATTTTTATTAAAAAAACAATTTCATTGAGTTTTTATAAATAAATTTAAATTAATAAGTCTTCTTACTACAAATTAAGAAATTTAATTGTATAGATCAAAATGATAACTCCATATTCTAATTTCAATATTATAAAAGAGCTCATAATATTTTGCTAATTTTAATCATATATTGAGAGAAGTGAATTATACTAATTAGAAGTTGGAAAGAATGATTGATTTCTCTACTTATAAAGACTAAATTTGGAAGGAACCATATATTTATTCTCACTTTCGTTAGAGTAAAGTAATTCTAAAATAATATTAAAAATTATTTTCTTATACAATAAAATTTTTCATACTTTTGAATGAGAATCGGTTCACTCCTCAAAATAATAATATTATCATTTCAGAAATTTAATATTATTATATAAAAATTTAAAATTATTATAAAATAAAATGATTTAATTATTAGATGTAATGATTGGTTGCAAATTAGACTAATCATCTCATACCTAATTCTTTCCTCAGACTGACGTATGCAATGACGAAACTACTAGCAAGATGTGAAGCTTCCTATTAGTTTCGGAAGAAAGGTCTTTCAATTTGTAACTACTCCCGTATTTATCTTTTTCTTCTAAACTTTACCCATGGACAAGCTCACACTCTCTACTTCTCACACCACAGAAACATACAATTGTCCTTTTGCAATTGGACACGTTTAGTACACATAATTTTCAAACTTCTGTGCATTTTTCGTATGATTGCAATAATCAATTAGTCAAAATTTTGCATTTATACAATTTCCATATTGCTGCAAATTTCCACTGGTATTTGGTAGTAAATTTTCAGGTCTGTGAAACCTTATAAAGGCGTATGCTTTGAGAATATTACTTTCCAATATGATGGACGGTCTGATTTGTCCCTGGTTACCCCAAGATCTATTCTTTGTATGTTGGATTTATGCTTCATGAACTTCATCTGGATTACAATGTTCCAAGTAAGAATAGTTTTACATCAAGTGCAATTGAGTTCCTGTTCTAGCACTTGTTGTCTCTCGAGTTGATATTTACTTATTTGAAAGCTTTGATTTTTTTTCATGCAAAAAAACCGTAGTTTGACAAAAAAATTATAGGCGTGTCAAATTTAAATTTTAAATTTATTAAAAATTTTAAAAAATAAATGAATTAATCAATTAAATTAAATTTTAGATTCAAAAAGTTTAATATTCAAATTTATATAATGATGGTAAGTTGAAGTAACTTGTCCTTCAACCAATTTTAGTAATGACAAATTATTTCAAAGAAAAGAGAAGTTAAAACGATGCCTTAAATGGGCGGTCTTATTGGTCAAATGATACAATCATGCTTTCTTGTCCTTACTCTTACCCAGCTCTGCAATAAACTCATCAATTTTCCTGTCTGAGCTCCCACCTATACTAACAGCTCTCTTGGCATGCTCCTTCCACTTTGATGCATTACTCTTAATCTCTTCATTTCTTTCTCCAACCATGACTTCCCTTAAACACTTCTCTAATTCTTCCCTCGTCACAATCCCTTCATCTTTTTTAGTTCTCACTCCTACCTTCCATACATCTGCTAAAAACTTGGCATTAGTTGGCTGGTCACTCCACTGTGGCACACACACCATTGGCACGCCTAGGCTCAAACCTTCCAAGGTTGAGTTCCAGCCACAGTGTGTTACGAAGCAGCCCACGGCTTGGTGAGCCAGCACCTCTAGTTGGTTGCACCATGTGACAAATAGCCCTCTTTCTCCAACTGAGTCAGTGAACTCAAGCAGCTGCTCGTCTTTGAACTCCTTTGCAACCCACAGGAAAGGCATATTGCTTGCTTTCAAGCCCCATGCTATTTCTTCAAATTGTTTGCTGCAGATACTTGACATGCTTCCAAACGATACATATACCACTGACTTCAATGGCTTAGAGTCTAGCCATTTCAGGCACTGATCCTTATCTTGCTTCCACAGGCTAGCCCCATAGCTTGTATCTCCTTCAATTTGATGATCTAAATAGAATGATGGCACCAGGGGACCAATCATTTCTACAGGCCAAAGTCCCATCAGAGCCTTGACAAGCTTTTCAAAGGCAAAAGCAATGAACAAAATGAGAAAAACTTGAGATCTTGTAACCGAAAATCAACTACTAGTAGTTATTAAATAATTAAATTGATCATTCGATGCATATTAATCAAAAAGCTTGAATTTGAAGTGACAGTTACAAACTCGATTTTTAATCTAACTTGTTTCATTGTGACAAACTGATTGGAATATTATTTGCATAAGGACTCACTTTCACAACTAGTAGGATACATTTGGATAAATAGTGACACTGAAAACAATGATAACAAAGAAATTAAGTATTGTAACAATTAAATTAAATAGATAATAATGAGATTAAAATCAATGATAAAGATATGATTGAATATTGATAACTATAATATGGATATGACAACTGGGTGGACCAAAACCCCTTTAAATTTCATATGGTGAAAATCCAAATCAGCCCTAACTCAATCCATTAAAAATTAAGGTGCTCTATTTACCATTGACCTTGTTTTTTTCTTCCCTTCCATTTTCCATTTTTCTTTCACTCAACTTATAAAAGAAATAAAAACAAATGCATTTGCCTCTGTTTTTTTTCTCTTCCTTTCATTTGCCTTCCCATTTTCATTTCTTCTTATCAAGCATGGTTTAAGTTCTAAAAGAAAAACTTTAGAACCTTTTTTCAGATCCTTTTCTTCAGATAATCACCTGGTGGTACTAGTCTCTATTAAAACCTGATTACTTCTCTAAGAGTGAACATTTCTTTTAGCAACAAAAGCGAGAACCCAGTTAATTACCTCTCTCTCCAGCTCCTCAAAGGAGTTACAGAAGACCCAATCATTTTTATCCAGAGCGCCAGTGTTGTCCAAGATTAGTGATAAATAAGCATAGTGCTTTGCAGGCTGAGTCAGAAAACTTGGCAAGTCGGAAAAGCCCAGAGAAGGCAGGCCAGGCATCGGTGCTGCTAAGGCTTCTTGTTTCATAGGCAAAGTCAAGCGTCCTTGATTGATTTGCCAATACAAGGAGCACACCGAAGCAGAGTTTGTCAACAGCATAGCTGCATAGATACCGAATTCTTTAGCTACATCAAGAGCCCAAGACAGCAATGAATCATACACAATGCAACTAACTGGTGTCCCTGAGTTGTTGAACTTCACTATCAGCTCAGCCAAAGTTGTTGACCCAACTGTTTTGAAGGACTCCAAGTAGGTTTCGAGACTTGAAGCTTGCTTGAAACCTCCTTCGTCGAAGCCATCAGAGATTGGTTCGATGCTTATAGTGTTTGCATGGATGGACTTGATGGTGTAAGGGGTGGTGGCTACGGTGACCTTGACTCCTTTGGAGGCTAAACGTTTAGCAAATTGGATGAGGGGATTTATGTGGCCTTGGGCAGGGTATATGACCACCAAGACATGGACTCCTCTCTGGTTTTGCATTTTTTTTTTTTCAGATTTTGCTTTGAGGTTTGAAGGGCATGCTTGATGATGGCCTTTTAAAGAGAGTCACGACGGAAAATGGTAGCCCACCGTGGAAAATTGGGCCTCTCCTTGGACATTAAAGTAATGTTTGGGATGGATTGGTCATTTCAATTAGGGTGATTTATGAACGATGATTAAAGTAATGTTTGGGATGGGTTGGTTATTACAAAAATTATAGTGATTTATATATGATGATCAGATAATTATATTTGATAAGTATTTGGTTATTTTACATAACAATAATTTTAGATCATTGATAATGAATGATCAAATTATTGTATTGAGAGTGATCTAATTTCTAAATAAAAAAGGTAAAAAATATTTATTATTAAAGTGAAATGATACGTAAAATTAATAATAATTAATTTTTTTTGTTTAATATGTGAATTACAAACTTACCGTATCTAAAAATTATAAGTATTTTATATTATGAATTTTTATATTTTCAAACTAATATTCACCATAATAACTTCAAAATAATTTATGTATTTTTTAAAAATATTTTATATATAACATAATTTTTTATTATGAATTTAATAGATTGGTTTTATTTTTTAATTCAAATATTTTTTAACTTAATTTATACTATAAAAATTAATTTACCTATCAATAAATATATTTATTAATTTAATAATTTAATAATATTTTATTATAAAATAAATAAAATATTACTAATATTTTACAAATTATTATCATTAAACAATCTTAAAATTATTAATTTGTGTAACATTACACTATGCATGATTATTTGCACATTTTTAAACAAATAATATTTAATTTTTAGTAATATTAAAACACAATAATCTTTAATTCCTAAGAATTAATATTATTAATTAAATAAAATAATTTCAAATCACGGGTATTAAAATTATCTTAATAATAAAATCACTCAAATAATTACATTAGTACGATGATCTTCCAAAAAAAAAAAAACCAAACGCTAGCTAGGTGATCACAAAACTAACCTAATTCTATTACTAAGATGAGCCAGGTAATTTTATTCATTCATGAAAGCGTATGGTGCAATAATAGTATTACCAACATTTTTTACATAAAAGGATTCCAATTATCAACATTTTAGACATAAAAGGATTCCAAGCAAAATGTAAGGCTATTTTTCTTATTATTCAAAGAGCTTTCATGCCTCCAACAATTACATGGTTTATTAATAAAATTTTAAATTCTTAATTGATTGAAGCTCAATCAATTAGCAACTTCAAATACAAGCTTTCAAGCTATAGATCCTTATGAAGGATTAATTTTATGTCAAAATTGATATAGCATAGTCCAAGCCTACCAATAAGATAAATGATAGAAGTGATGAAAATAATTAATTTTTTTTTATGAAATATCATTAATGATTTCTTGACAGTGCATAACACAGTGCATCAAATAAAAAAGTGATGAAAAGTTAAAACAAAATGAGCGAGAGAAGATGAAGTGAGCTGAGCTATCGTAACACTTTCAATCGATAAATGAGCATTGAAGATTTTACAGTTACTTAGACCATAGGTTCAAAGCATGGCCCTATTTTATAAGGCTTTAGAAGCTTTGAGCATAACACACAAAAAAGGAGGGGTGTTGAACCATTGAAAACTGATGCTGGTGCTCATAAGGGATGTTGATAAGAATGCAATAAGTTCTCAGTTATCAAACAAAAGCATTTCATTCTCTTCATGCATGGTCACGGTCCATGATTCAACTGAAACAACCACAATTTTAGAACCAAAAAATCTGCCTAATTCTGTAACAGTGCATCAATATATTTACAGTTTAATATGATACAGAGGGGTGCAAGTTCTGATATCCAACAAGAACAAGGATTTATAAACGGGCAGCTGCGTCTACCACATCTAGTGATAATTCCAACTTGTTGAATTCTATAACTGCAAACCAAAATTTAATATGGCAGCATTTGGCTACCACTAATATTTGCAACCGTACCTATAATCATATTAGGGTCCATTGCTATATCTCCGACCTCGAAATTTTTCTGCAACTTTTCTTTTAATAGAGAACCATTTCAGCACACTGAAAACCTTGGTCCATCTCCTCTGTGCTTGAACAGCAACAGTACGTGGTGGCAAAACTAATCCATCATCGCTAGTTTGAAGATCAGCTTGTGATTCCGAACCAGGACCCTGGGACTGAGGATCACTATCAAAAAATTGAAGATGATCTTCATCGCAGAAAGTCTGAGTAATATCCGTGTCACAGATCGGGGAATTAGTGACTTGGCCAGGATAACTCAAAGTTTCGTCATATCTTAGACCCATGTTTTCAATGCCATGCAGGGCATAATCGTCTAAACCACTCATACCCCCAACTGAATAGATGGTTGAAATGATATCTGGAGAAGAAGCACTTGATTGAGCATAATCAAATCCACCCATCTTTTGAGAAGCCAAAAACTTGCTATCATTAGAAATCTGTGCCTTGGCTGAGCTTGTGTAAGGAATATTTGCTAAATTTGAAGAACCACCTATGAGAGAGGCTTCATCATCAAAAGGGATAACTTCTTCCCAGTGCTCAAATGCAGAAATTACCAAGTTTTGTGCTTCAATCTGATCGCAGAGCAGATAATCAGAACCCAACCATTAATGACAAAAGTAAATAAATATAAAGAAAAAAACAATCAGATGAAGCAAGAGAAGTGTGCCTTCTCAGTTTCTGACAGCTTATCGATTGTGACATACTGGCATTCTGAAAGTACTCCTGTCACTTGTCCCACAATATTAAAGACCACACCAGATTTCAGTTGAGAACCAGGAGGGCAGTACAAGTGCATCCTCTTATCAAGCACACATGTTCGAGCATGCTCCACAGTTACTTCCCACATCTTAGCAGACATACCAGTGCCGAGGATCTGCACACATCCCAAGAAACAAATATTGCTTGCTATTAGCATTTTGACATGATGAAAATCCTAACTTAAAGCAGTTAAAGCTGCTTAAGTTGTTGATAAATAGTCAACATGAAACCTGGTGAGCCTTAGACAAAGCATGGATCTCTCAGTGATGTGAGGTTAGTTTTAATTTTCCAATTTATATCGTTATTAATTATTACTGATGAAAAGAATAACTCAGGGTGCAGTTTAGTAAAAATTAAACATAGATGAATGCAGACATAGCTACAGAGTAAACTGAAAAAACTTGCTATAAGTAAAATGTAATCAAAGATTATGTTGATACATGTCCGACTAAGGAACTTTTTATAGGTATATAATTCACCCACAAATTCATGTGGTCTAATCCAATAACATTGACAACACAGTTCCTTTTTGAAAGCAATCCGAACATGCTTAAATTTAAGGGCTGGCTTAATACTGATTAAACACCATCTTCACTTTAATTTTGATGTTCTACTGCCATTAATGGAGGACATTTGAACAAAGAAGATGGTAAAGAAACTGGAGACCTTCATAAAAATTCTAAGCAGTGTACAAAAAGAGAGATAAAGCAGTAGAGCCTCACATGTCGGAGCCTTGGAAGATTTATAAAGAGCATGGTCAAAAAATCCTTTACAGTGTTGATATTCTCCTGACTCAAGCGCTTATGGAAAGCCCCATCTTTGCCAATTTTCTCTAATCTCCATACTTCATCAGAAAGAGATGGAGGATGATGCTTCTTGTATACTGCAACCAGAAACCAAAAGTTGAAAAAAGTCTATTCTACCTTCTATTTTTTTCTCATAATGACTCACTTAAAAACATCACTATGTAAATGCATATTAAAATTCTAAAGAAAACAACCAAAAAGAAAAATAAAAAAGAGGCAATCTAACTTTCCAAAATTCCAAATATCAACCTCCTCCTTTTTCTCTTGTTGTGCTTGGAATCCTAAAGCTAATTTTGCTCTTTGCAGTTTAAGACCAGATTAAAAGTGGAGAACATTTGAAGGAAAATAATAGATAGAATTCATTCAACATCTTAGTAGCATCATCACTTCTGGAGTGATTGTCACATAAATATAAAATGAGAATCAGCAATATCATAATTTCTATTCTACGCAAAGTGACAAGAATCTAATTTCTTAGCCTGAAAAGTCCCTAGATCTTGAGAACATCTTAACCTAAGCAGAAATGTGCCATGCATTAAATAGATACCTACTCATAGAATATGATTATAATTAAGTAATTACATTCACCACGATGATCCCTGACAATGAAGGATTCTGTCTTTGCTTCTCTTACTCTAGTTCCATCAGGGCCATCCACAACTCTTGCACCAAGTCTAAAACGACGGCTTCTTGTCCAGCTTGAATTATCTGTAAATGAAATCTCACCCGCTAAACCTATGCCCTCAGAAAGAGTTAAAAATGCATCTCCAGTAAGAAGAGGTTTCTTTCCTTCTCTCTCTCTTACAATGTTATTCTTAAACTCTTCAAGTGTCCAATTGTCCCCCTCATCACCATCGAAATCTCCCTCAAGGACAACAACTTCTACTTTGGCAGAAGACTCTGGGCCAGAAGTAACAATTTGTCCAGTTAGGGCATCAACTATAGCCACCTTTATGGCAGAACCTTCTTCTGATTCAATTCGAGCTCCAGTGAACACAGGAAGGGAGAGATTATTTAAGAATTGGAGTTGTAAGCTTCTTGATACGGTACAATTTACCTCCTTCCCACCATTCCTTCAAACAAACAAGGAGCAGAACCACAAGGTTTTAGTATACAATGAAGTTAACATGGCTTTCTGTCAGAAAATATATCTAATTCATATTTTTTTCTTCCTTCGTTGAATAGAATTCATACCTTTTCATATTGTTCAAATGCTTTCTAAGAGCCATTTCAACTTCCTCCTTGACCTACAAAACATAGAATCAGTAATTTACATCCAACTGTTAACATATTCAATACTTTTTTTAACAAGTTACAGAAACAAGAACTACAAAAGATATGCGAGCTTGCAACAGTTGGGCCAACAGTAGTTATGAATATAAGTTTTTGCTCCCTTTGCTTGACAAAACTTTGAAATTAGATGCCAGACACCATAACATGGGCATTTAGAAAGAAATAGCAAAAATTTTAGAAAAATTAAAACACAACTCTATTTGCCAGCATGTCCACTCATTGAAGCAAAAATAACAGCATTGATATAACATTTCATGCTCCAAAGACTTATTCATTAAAACATGGTTAAAAAGGCTAACTGAAGATGCCAAGAGAATTTGTCGACCTGAAAAGCATACAAGGTGCATCTATATGATGGACTTAGAGTCAAGTATAAGATTCAAACATTTTAAAAAGGCAAACCGTTCATTTACTATGACAAATTCAGTTTGCACCTTGGGTTTTGTTTTATCATGCTTGCTTCCTGATATGAAAGCTCATGCAGAACAAATAAAGAAAAAAGACAGCTAACTGGAAGAAGTATGTTCCAAAGTTGCAACCAATTTTTTTGCAACTAAGGTGCACATATCCAACAAGTCTTAATGGCTAATAAAATCAAGCTCACTTGACTGAATATATAATCGATATCTTAAAAAAGATATGCCACCTTCAATCTATCACAGTTGTTGGCAAAAAAAATTATCAGAGTTTTAAAATTAGAGGTCACATTCTTGATTTAAGTGAGGAAATCTGGACTCATGCTAGGATCCAAAAAGAAAAAAAGAGAGTAATTGACAAGTTGCAAAACCTGAAAGTTCTTGCAATTAGCTTTCAAAGTTGTTAAAGCCTATAAACTATATGGAGCCATAAAAGGACTGGAGCTGAATAAGTTAACAGGAACTAACTACTGGTGTCAAATGATTGACAATTTGACAGTACAACCAGAATAGGTGCAAGTCACAACCACCAAGAAGCTGTAGGAAATAGTAAGTGCTATACTTTATGTTACTTCAACTCTTTATTGTTCGTGACACTTATTTTTTTACGCACGCGAGTGTTGAGATTCACATGTGAGTGTGACATATATGCATGTAGGATCAAAGAATCCATTAGCTTAGGTTTTTGGATTCAAGTGGTGTCCAACAAGTACGTATAGGCAGGCCCCTTTCGTGTTCTCCTCAAGGACTTAAGGTTTGGCTTATTTCCCCAAGAATAGGAATGAAGTTTGTACGCTCCAAAAATAAGGAAAAATTTAAGAAAAAATTGAACATGCTTGTGCCGATGTTGAACACAACCACATCTGATACTCACTCCCAGACTGAGCAACATAGGCTACAATAATTGCTAAAAGTAAATATCACCAGGCAGTAAAGGACACAGGACATGGTAATTTTATGATTTCAATTCTTGAGAGAGGCATCAATGCCTGTTTTTTCAACCTTTGGTGTGACATTGAAGCTTCATAATGAGACGATGTATTATGAACATATACTTCAAATGTCATTGTTAAATGAGCTAAAATGACAAGATTTTAATGGAGAAAAGGGTGGAAAGAAAGGAAAGCTTGCTGTCACTCTCTCTACTATGTGAATAAAATTCTAAACTTGTTTTTGCTGGAAAGAAAATAAAATAATGTAGGAGCACCACTGAAATAACATGATCAAAGGAAGAAACATACCACCCTACGAATCAACGGCTCCAAAACTGGCTCCAGCAATTGCTGGACCGATTGCAACTTCATCACCTCCTGAACCACACTAGCATAGTTTACAAACAGATTAGCAGCCAAAGGAAACACTATAAATGATGCATAATTTTACATGGATTATTATCACTGATCATCACAAACCATGAATAGGCAGGTGTAAATGATATTCAACTACATAGAGAATGAAAACATATTCAAGCAATATCACTCCAGTTCAAATACCAAATGCACAAAAACTATTTCTAGGACCATATATACCATTTCTTTTCTCATATTTATCACCCTCAAATTTAAAAATCAACTATTTCCTTTTGGAAAAAAAAAAAAAAAGGAAAAAAAGCTAGTGCCAACTCAACTCTCTATGGTAATATAGCCAAATGTCTTTGCCTCCTCAGACCTATTGATAAAGGATGTACGCATGACATAACAACTTTTGACCATCTCTTACTGTCCTAACATATCATTCAGAAGAAAAACCCATGTCCCCATCGAACAAAAACGCTCATGGAAATCCACAATAACAAATCGCAACTAAATAAAGTCGATAAAGGCAAACCACATTCAATTAAGAAAAAAAAAATGCCCAGTTCATTTCTCTTATTAGTTTCAATATTAGCAGAGAATTTAATCATATTAAAAAAGTGCAAGACATATTTCAACAACTTTACTAATCAAGAAATAAGCCCAGTTCAAATATCCACTCATCTATTCACTTCACCTTAAGTATTTCAATCATGTTAACAAGATTTCCCATTAAAGGAGTGAATAAGAAAATTTATTTTTTATTTTTTTACCTTTTTTCATAAGTCATAAGGGTTAACCAACCACATTCACTAACCAATTTTACCAAACAAGCAAAAACCAATTCCCTTCTTTTCTTTTTTCTTTTTTCCCTCTTATTCCTATTTAACATGTAAAGCATCAATGGTAAAACAAGAACAAAAATTCAGGTAAGAAAGGAAAGGCGTATACTTTCTCAAGGTTGGAACCCTTCTCCGTTTGTCCTGATCAGGACTATTCCCTTCTGACGGCCGAGCCTTACCATCTTCCTGGGGCCTTTTCTGTGACATTATTACTTTTAACTCCAGCAACAAAAACACCCCAAAAGCTAAGCGGTTTCGGTGGTGGGCAACGATGAGGTTCATTAACAAACACCAATACAACAACAGCCAAAGAACCCAACATGCGGCACTTAAATAAAAATTGAAACCAGCAGGAGGAGTATACACATATATTTATATATAACTATTCATTCATCAATTAAATGCTAATCAATGAGTAAAATCCAATGCATCAAAAGGAAAAGAAAAGGAAAGAAAAAAACAAAAAGCAACCCAACACTTGAAACCCTTTTTCCCATCTCACTTTCCTATCCATTGTCTGTATTCGGCTGTGTCTGGGATGTTTCTTCGCCGTGAAACTCTTTCTTCATCTTTCTTTTTCGCTCTTTCCCCTCTCTTTTCTTTGAGTTCAACTGCAAAGGCTGTTGCGTTTTTCCTGTGTTCCTGCAAGAAAGGATTTTTGTCTGAATGTGGGACCCGACAAAGCGCGTTTTGGACTAAAGAAAAATGGAGCGGTCCACAATCCGGATGGTAATACGCAATTTTCTTGGGTTTCTTCCTATCAAAGCGTGTAACACTAACATGACATGACCAATCATTTTTTGACAATTTTATTGTAGATTGGGTTTGGTTTGGGAGGGGGAAATTGGGGGCCCATTTATTTTTTTTGGGGTCCACCTTTTAAGTTTGTACTTTTATGGTCTTTCTTACATTGGATTCAAAATTATGATCAGGATTGAGTAGTTTATAGTTATAAATACTGTTAGGTATATCTATTTAAATATGTATTCATATCATATTTATTTTATATAAAATATAAAAATTATTAAATCATAATTTATGTTAACACATTAAAAATAAATATTTTTAATTTTTTAAACCCATATAATTTTTATCAAAATTTTAAATCTTATTATTTTTATTATTTATATTATTTTATATCATATCTAAAATTATCATATTTAATGTTTCATAGAGTTACATGATTTTACATGATACGTGCACATATTTTGATTTCGTTGACAAAAATTAATGGATTATTATCCTTCCTAACTAATGAAGTTGAAGATCATGTCATTTACAATTCAATATTATTATTTATTAGAATTTGAATTATTTTTTAAAATATTGGATAGAATTTTTTTAATTTTACAAACATTTGTCCATTTAATCATTATAAAAATTTATTAATTTGCATAAGTACACTATCAATTTTTTTTGTGAAATTAAAAATTTTTATTATCCGTGTATAAGATAATTGTTTTACATATTATATATCACAAATTTTTATTGTTAAAAATGATTACATAAATTAATTAAATTAAATTTTAAATTTAAATTTAAATTTTATTAATTTTATACTTAATTAAACAAAATTATATGTAAAAGACTCGTATATATATTATTCCTAAATTCATATATATAAATCTAATAAGTTAAATATTAGTAGTGTGATTTCACACTTGACAGTAACTTTTTTTTTCTCTTTTTTCTTTTTTTTTTTAAATTCATTTTGATTCAGAAATATAATCCAAAAAAAATCTTAATTTTGAATAAAAATTTTATGTTTTTTTGAAAACTCATTTAACCATTAAATCAAAAGTTAAGGACTATCTTTCATATACTTTGATAAGCCTCTAGATCATGTTGATGAGGTTGGCATCAGGTCGGGTTCAAGGTGAGTTTTGCTCGCTTTGAATTTGACCTAATTTTATGTATTATTAAATTTAAACTCGATTACATCCGAAATTTTTTTTGTTTTTTATACTTGAATCCGATCCTGACCCGATATTATATAAATCGTATCCGATTCGACTCGATCCGAAATTAATAAAATATTTTTTTTAAATATAAAATATTATTTTTATAAATATAAATATTTAAAAATATCATTATATAAATATATATATAAATAATTAATTAAAAAATAATTTTTTATATAATATCAGATCAGATCGGATTAAATTTACCTAAAACCTTAACATGATCTGATTTCAACTGTTTTCTAATCTTATCCAACTCAAAACTAAAATTTTAAAAAAAAAATTAATTTCATAAGATCAGATTGAATCGAAATCGTCGAATACGGATTGGATTCCGTCCCTACGTGTTGGTATTGGTTTAAAATCTGAAGGTATCCGCTTGCACCTTTTTATATTTGATTTGTACTTTCGAATCTTTTAAGTTAACAAAGTTTTTTTTTTTTTTTGTTTCTCTCCATGCAAAAATTCCTTTCCCCATCTTTTCTAGATCCCAAAGGAAAGTTGAAGGAGCCCAGAGAATAAAAGATGTGCTGTTTTCACCTTGAAGACTCGCTATCATTTATCTTATATTTAAAATAATGCAAAATCTCCTTTTGTCTTTTAAAAAATAAATTTTGTTAAGGTTTGGCCCAAAAAAGTAAAAACTATACCAAGAGATAGAGCCTTCGTCATATTTTTTTAACAAAATAAATCGTAATTTGAAGATAAAAAATTTATAAATATTAAAATTTAAATCTCAATTATATTAAATATAATTTTTTAAAAATAATTGTATAAATTAAATTTTAGATTAGAATTTTAATCACTCACTATTAGCAATAATTGAATTAAAAAATGATTGGAATAGAAAATATTTAAATCCAAAATTATTTAAAATTTGAAAAAAAATAAATAAATAAGCAGCCAATTAATAAATGATCATACTTTTTTCTTAGCTCTTCTTTTGTTCTCCTCCACCCCTCGAAATTAACCATTTTATTACCATTATAATAGTACAATGAATTTCCATCATTTCTTTTTCATTTATAAATATGCAATTATTCCGTATCTTTCAAATAAAAGAAAAAAAAAAAGGTATTATTTTCTTTCTTTTTCCCTGTAAATTATATTGTATCTATCATATCTATACAAAATAAAAAAATTATCTCAAACTATTTTGAGTCCAATTTAAATACCTCAGCTTTAGTATTAAATATGAAATTTTGTATAATATATAATAATGGTGAAAAGTCCAAGATTTTTTTTTTTTTTTGCTTTAAAAGAGGGCAAACGTTCGTACAAAAAAAAAAAGATGACATGATTAAAATTCACATCCACGTATCTTTCTTAAAATCTCTTAATCACTATACCAAAAGATAAAAGACGAAAAGTCCAAGATTTCAATTGAAAAAAAAAAAGATAATTTGTTCAAATGCAAGGAAGGCAAAGGTGAACATCAAAAAACCTTAAGATACTCACTTATCCTTCATCCCCCTTCCCGGAATCTTCCTCTGTCCAACCAATCTTGTTAACTCGAACCAAAATTTTTAATTTCATTCCATAATTGTCCTTTGTCAATTTTAAGTGCAGTAATTTTTGTAGGGGTAGGTTTGTCAGTGCACAACGTTGCGTTTTTCACGTTGATATTTGCTTAACGTAAGAGAAAAAAAAAATGCATTGATTGTCCTATGCATTGGAAATCGATAAATTATGTTGTGTTAATGTCCTTTGAAACATCCACCTCTACTAAAGAAGAGGCCACGCAAAAGAAGATTTGGCAAAGGGTGTACGATCAAGATATGAGATTTTTTGTTTTGTGATTCACCAAATCTTGTATGATCCTTTGGGTTTTGTCATTTTGTAATAGAATAATATTCAAATAAGCTCTCTAATTTTTATTCAAAAATGAAAATAATTTTTTTATATTTTATTACACGAAATTATGATTATAAATTCTTATTTTATTGTAATTACAACTAATAAAAAAATTTAATTTTTGGTTAATTTTTTTAGTTGGATGATTTAATTTGTAAAAAAATGCTTAAATTTTTTGGAAGGACTAAATGACGAATATTTAAGAAAATATTATTTTTAAAATTTTGTCAATTAGACATTATTCATTTATTTTAAGATTTAATTAATATAATTACAAGGAAATAAAATTTTATAACTTTAATTTCATATAATAAAAAATTGGAAATTTATTTGCAATTTTTAATAAAATCGAAAAACTTAGTTGGATATTATAAGCCTTTTGTAATCTACACTAAGCCCTTAAAAATTGGTTACGAAAGATTTACTTAATTCAAAAACTCAATTGATAAGTGAGAATTTGGAAGTAAGGTAGAATTTCAAAAACGAAGTAAAAAAAAATATTTCTTCCGTTAAAAAAGGGTTTTAATTTTAATGTATTTATCATTAAATTAAAATTTTTCGATAAAATTAAAATTTTTTTATTTTTAATGTTAAAAAGTAAAAATAAATTATAAAAAATAATTTTAAAATATAAAAAAAATTTAAATATTCAAAAAATATGCATAATTTTAAAATATCTAAAAAAAATAGACAAACAAAATAAAACAAAAAGAGTACTATTTTCTTACACATTTGTCAAGATTTTACGGTCAACACGATATTAGGTGATTAATTATTAAAGAGCTTGCAAATGCACCTACATCTGATTGTGACTCCCGCCACGGGTTGAATTAAGGGGGGGAAAATCAAAACACCAACAAAGTCTGCGGACGAGTAGAATTTGTTTACTGATGTTTGGTTTTCTGTACGACGCTGCCACCGATTAGGATGTGGGGGGTCCAATTCTCGGACAATGATCACATGATGTGAGGTTCAGTGCCACTATGGTTCATGATTTGTCAGCCAGTCGTACATGTGATTGGTAGGACCCAATTGACCAAACCCAAAGGCAAAATATGTGAATATCATATGCCGATTGTGGGTTTGGTTAGTAGGACAAATTATCGTTTAGGCAGGATAAATTGGTTATGATGTTTTAGAGATTATCATGTTCATTGAATGAAAAACAACTTCAAAATACTTGGAATGGGAAAGAAAGACTTAATATTCTGCACAAAAGTAGGAAAAAAAAAACTAAAGAGATATGAGTTGAAATGGAGAAGATTATTCCATGAAAAGAAAAAACTCTAGCTTCAGTTTTGTTGGCTGGAATTGAAAAAATTGAAAGAGGTGAAAATGTGCAAGGAGGTTGAAGGTAATCAGTTTAGGTTAGGTTGAATGTATGGCAACATTTAATATGATATTAGGATTCGATTTTTTTGTGAAATGATTTTTAAAAAATGATTTTTAAAAAATAATTTTTGAAAAAATTTATATTTTTTAAATTAAATGAGATTTTTTGTTAATAAAAAATATTTTTCATTGTTTAATTGTTTGTTAAAAATTTTATTTTTTTAAATAATATTAATATAACTATTAAAATATTAAAAATTATTCATTATTAAAGTATATTGAAATTATTTATTATTAAAATTATTAATATTGAAAAATAGTTATATTTTACTAATAATATTTAATATTAAAATATTATGTTAATATAAAAAATACTTAAATAAAACAATTTAGTATTCTTTATATTATTTATTAATATATTATTATAATATTTATGAATTAATATAATAATATTTATTAATATAATATTATTAATTAATTAATATAATATTATTTATAAATAAAATTATATTAAAAAATATTGATATTAATAATATATTATAATATTATTATTAACATAATATTATTTATAAGTAAAATTATGCTCAAAA